TTTCGGTTCTTATTCGATTCTTGGTCTAGACCCGAGACCCGACCCAAACCCATCGGGTCTCGATTCGGGTACCCGTTCGGGTATTTAATTTACGAAGAACCGCTCGATTCGGTTCGGTTCGGTTCGGTTCGGGTTCGATTCGATCCGGTTCGGTTCGAGACTTTTGGACACCCCTAGTTATATATTTTAAAATTGAACAAAATAATAATTCCATCTCTTAACACTACTCTCAAATTGATTCACTTTGGACAAAAAAATTTAAAAAAAAATAATACATATATATTAAGTTTTTATTGCCAAACGGTCCTTGTGCTCCAGGCACACGAAACTAAACAGAGTTGTTTTCAACTGAAATTCATCAAACAATAATAATAATAATAATAAAGTGAACTTGTTAATTTAATTTGTCGGTGGCTGTACTTTGACTTAATTTTCAATTGAGTTATTATACTAATTTGTCATTTGTCATATTATACTTTCATTTTGTGTGAATTAAGTAACTAACTTTAATTTTATCTCAAATTAGACAACTTTATTCAATTTCATCACATTATTTAACACCAGACATTAACATGACTAATACATATTAATAATCATCTTACATGACTCTGAAAATGATACGGAAGAAGTGATAAAATTTAAAAATTCCATTTCCCTATTAAATTTGTGGATTGAAATTAATTGTATTTTGTTGTATAATTTCTTCTCAGTATTTTTTTCAATGACGAGGTGGGATGATAGCTATTTAAGACCCCAAGTATGTTTCTAGCTTAAACAATATGATGGAATAGTACAAAATGGCTAAATCAAAGGTCACAAGGCCATATTCAAAGGTCACAAAGGCAAGTGGCCAAAATCAAGATAAAATAAAAGTACAGAGATTCAATTGATACAAATTTTAAAGTATGGTGGCTCAATTAAATATCAAGTCATAGTACAGTAACCGCGTATAGAATTAACCCGTGAAGAACTCAAAATTACACGAAAATGTTAGGACTACATCAGGACCAGTGTCCGAGATTCCTCTCTAGAAAACCACACATTCCTGTCTCCTTGTAAATTCATCACCATCCGTGGTGATGCAGTGAATAGAGAAGGAAAGTAAAAAGAAAAGGGTCATCTATTTCTTCAAATTCCACCATGAAATTTCAGATAATTTGGATGTTAATTTGCATATACATATTTTTTCTACTGATCTTGATCAGTCCGGCTAAAGTGAGAGCTGGTGATATAGTTCACGATGACAATTCGGCTCCCAAAAAGCCCGGCTGTGAGAATGATTTTGTGCTGGTAATTCTATCATTTTCTTGCTCCTCCTTTCCCTATTTAATTTTCTCTGATGTATCAAAAATTCAGTTTTTATGTTTACCTACTCAAGATTCAGTTTTAGCAAAAGCTAAGTTTAATTATGATTTGAGTATTTTCTCACAGTATATTTTGTGATTTCTTGTTTAATTAATTTTAGATGATAAAATGTAATTTGGAGGCATATCAAACTCGTGTTCAACATAGTTGTGAGACTGCAACTGAAGCTTCTTTTGCTGGATTATTTTTTTTGTCTATTCTTGATTGTTGTCCTAATCTTGTTTAGATAACAGTTGTTATATCTTTTGCTAGGTAAAAGTTCAAACTTGGGTTGATGGCATAGAGGATGAGGAATTTGTTGGTGTAGGTGCTAGATTTGGCACAACCATAGTATCAAAGGAGAAAAATGCGAACCAAACACGCCTTACTCTCTCGGATCCTCGGGATTGTTGCAGTTCTCCTAAGAAAAAGGTCTTTATTTGGACCCGACACCCTGTTTTTGTTATCGAAAACCGTCTTTTCATTAATGGGATTATTTTTTCTTTGTTGGTAACATTGGATTTTCTTGGCTGCTTTAGTTTGTAAGAGATGTCATCATGGTGGATCGAGGCAACTGCAAATTTACAGCGAAGGCAAATTTTGCAGAAGCGGCTGGTGCTTCAGCTGTCCTCATTATAAATAACCAGAAAGGTAACAACATTTTCATTTATTGGTATAGTATATGATGTGAATGCAATTTTAAACTATTTTCTGCATAGTGCTCATGAAATTCTAAACAAGTTAAATGCGTCATTCTTTTCTCTTGGAGATTTTCTGCACTGCTGATTTCTAAGAAGGGGGAAAGACAAGCTAAGATTATTCATATAGTCACTTTTTTAGTGCTATAGCACAACTCAAACATTTTTACATTTAACATTTGAATTAGGGCTAAGCAAACTTTTTATCTTTAGCCAAATGTGCATTCTACCAGTGGGTTCAGATGCACAATGTGGTTTATCTTTAACATTGAAAGGCCAATATCATCATGAACTTTGAACTCACGGTTGAATAATTGGATGGTATGCCTTCTGCAAGTATGGTCCAGCATGTGAAATCACGACCAGATTATTTTGCAAGTTCTGCTTATTTTGTGACAGAAATGACTCAATCTTGCAGAACTTTACAAGATGGTTTGTGATGCTGATGAAACTGATCTAGATATACACATACCTGCTGTCATGCTTCCCCAAGATGCTGGTGCTACATTAGAGAAAATGTTGTCAAATGGTTCATCAGGTAAGATTTTATTTTTCATTCATAATTACATTTCAGATAATGAATTTTTATCTGGTTCATCGATCATCTTTTGTTCTTCTGTAAATAGGAAAGTGGCACTCAAGTGGCCCGTCTAGTTTCCAATGATAAATTCAACAACTAAGCCTTACTGTCAATAAATTTGGGGGGGTTTAAATATTTTTCACCATTTTGCTCCGGTTATTGCTGAGTCTACTAGGAGATATAAGCTATTAGGTACTTAAAAACTACAATTGAATATTTTAACTTGCGTTACACCTCCCTCTTTTAACTTGCTCTGTCAAAATCACATCATTCTTGTGTACGAAACTGAAAACAGTAAATGTCACAATTAAATTTCTATATCTGTCGATGACATGAAGTCATGAACTATAAATTGTTGCACCTTGTCAAGTCCCAGACAAACTGGGGAGCGACTGTGTGGGAGACTTGTGTAATGGGCTCTGAGCTACTACTTGACCTTTGTCCTCAAATAGCAAAATTGGGAAGTAAAAGATCCATTTAGATGCCCACTGTATATTTTTAAAAGAGGTTCAGTTTGTATCATGAAGCCAATTTGGGGTACTAGATAAGTTCTAACCGTCATTTTTCGATCTGCTTTTTAAGTGACAAACTCATTATGTATCTGAGGGGTTGAACAGGTAGTTTATATATAAGACTGTCTTGTGAAATTCTATGTGGGGCGAGCTGAACAACTTTCTTGATCATTATGTCATTAAGTTTGAGGATGAATCATAGAGAGTACACTTTTAGCATCCTTTCTTCCTTTTTGACTTTAGTTTTTGTTGAAGGCATTTCTCTTTCTTTAGTTTCTGTGCAGCTTTACTCTCCGCGTAGACCGGTGGTTGATATAGCAGAAGTATTTTTATGGCTGATGGCAGTCGGTACCATCCTATGCGCCTCTTATTGGTCTGCATGGAGTGCTAGAGAAACAGCCATTGAACAAGATAAGTTGTTAAAGGTCAGCCATCTTTTGCTAGGCCTATCTTGATTTTGGCTTTGCTTTACTTAATAGTATCTAGTAGTGTCTAATCCATAGTATTAAATGTGCGAGTAGGGTTTAAATCTTTCGGCACCTTTACATTCACTGTTAAAAGAATGTATCATATTCTTGTAGGATGCTTCTGATGAAATTCCAAATTCTAAAAGCCTTGGTGGAGGAAGCAATGTGGTGGATATCAATATGATCTCTGCAGTCTTATTCGTCGTTGTTGCATCATGCTTCTTAATTTTACTCTACAAATTAATGTCGTTCTGGTTCATTGAACTCTTGGTGGTTCTCTTTTGCATTGGTGGTGTAGAGGTGCAAGTCATCACTTTCTACTTAATATATATTCCTGTATTTCTCTTCAGCGTGTTTGCCTAAGTTAAAAATTTTAACTCTTAGTAAGTTTTAAAATAAACAGTAGTAAGGTAAGTGTTACTTACAAAACAACTAACCTTTTTGCTTAAATGTTAGACAAAAGTAAAATTTCCAAGCATGGCTTCAAAATGTAACTGAGAAATAACTTCTACTATTTTAGAGCCTAGCCGAACATGATCGTGGTATCTAACATCTGTACCTTTGTTGTCTGACATTGTCTCTATTGTTGGTGATCTGTCCTGTAGAAACTTGTTCTGAATTTCTAGTTTTTTGTTCGTACAGGGCTTGCAGACTTGTTTAGTTGCGTTGCTGTCAAGGTATACTAATTCAGCTAATGGCCTTTTCCATGTCTATTAAACATCAATTCTGTTAACCAAGTTTTTATACAAAGGAGAAATTGATTAAACATTTCTTCTCATTTGATGCTAGACAAACAATGTAGCTAATATTGAATAAATATAAGATTATGAAGTTGACTTGAAAGAAGTGTTCGTTGTTGCTGCAGAGAAAGAGTTGAATCGAAAAATCAACAAACTAATGCACGTCTTCTGTGAAAATTAAGCCATTGTCATTGTACTTCACCATGATTTCATGAGAAAAGAATAATTAAGCTCTCAAACTTCATGGATAAATCAATTTTTTCAGATGGTTCAAGCGTGTGGGAGAATCATTCATCAAAGTACCTATCTTTGGAGCTGTCTCGTACCTTACTTTGGCGGTTTCTCCATTCTGCATAGCTTTTGCTGTGGTTTGGGCTGTGAAACGCAATGTCTCTTTTGCTTGGATTGGTCAAGATATTCTTGTAAGTTTCCTGGAATATCTGAAATCTTCATTCGCGTTTCTATTTTTCCATGCCTTCCTAAATATTAGGATAGTATTTTCTACTGAATTGCAATTTATCTTGGGTTATGCTTCATTGAACGAAAACTTTCTTATCAATCAGGGAATTGCGCTGATAATTACTGTTCTTCAGATAGTGCGAATCCCTAATCTCAAGGTAATCAGTCAGCTTCTCAGTATTTTATTATGAAGGCTGTATGTAAGACTTACATGGAGCTTTTCTTGATTCTTCTCTATCACCTTTAAGCATCTACAATTGTCACATGTTTATGGCTACCATATTGCTCTTATGTACTAGATATGAATTCTATGACATTAACAAAATCTTGATTGACATCTTCCTTTAAACTTGTGCTTCCGGTAAAATTATTTTTGAATGAGAAGTATTAGAACTTGTGTCTTGACATTGACGTTTGCTTGCTTGACACCATTTAAATGAATTCCTTGTTAGATGCTTTACTAAAGAAGAATTTATTTTTATTTTTTTTTCCTTTGAAGAAAATGTTAAGAGTTCCCTGAATTTGTTCCTCCTCAGCTGGTAAGAATCCTAGACCCGTGCAACCATTGTTAAGAAGCTGTATTTTGTCCTGCTTGGAAGTGGCAGTGCAGTAGAAAAAAAAAAGGAAAATGGTCGAATCTTTGGACATCTTGAAAATACTATGAGGTGCTTGAAAATTGTCAAAATTCTTGAATGGGAAAATCTCCATGAATATATTGCTTATTATACTATTCAACAAAGCTTTACTTGGATGTATATTCAATAAATTAATATTTCGAGCACATTATGTTACGGTAAAAAATTGCTCCCTCTTTTTTTGGTCCGTTCCCCCTCTTTTTTAGTGATAACTGCAACATAGGGTGTGGAGTATCTTATCGTACCCCTCTAATGCATAAGCCAGTATATGATTATAGGATCTTGAATACAATTAAATGAAGAAATTTAGGAGTGTATAGTTAGTATGTAATTTACATGTACTTGAAAAGCATGTTGAAAGCTCTATTAATAATAACTATAGGCGTTCCATGTGATTGAGTTGTATATATAGTCCTGTTTGAACCTCCCCATTTGAATTGTGTATATCTAAGCGAATAAAAACTAATTTTCTCCTTTATATTGATGGAGTCTATCTTGCAAGCTATCACATTGTATACTACCACATAAATATCTCAAGATTTGGTCTGTGAAATTTTTATCCCTAATACATGGCTGTCCATTTTCTATTAATGTATACACTTTGATTGAATAATACTTCCTTTTGCATTTCAGGTGGGTACTGTCCTTTTAAGTTGTGCTTTCATGTATGATATCTTTTGGGTGTTCGTTTCCAAGAAACTGTTCCATGAAAGCGTGATGATAGTGGTAAGTAATCATTGAACTTCGAAATATGTTGCTTATACAAACCAAATTGTTTTCATGGAGATGACGTGATTTCAACTGTTGATGTTATCTCAGGTGGCTCGTGGTGATAGAAGTGGCGAGGATGGTATACCAATGCTTCTGAAGATTCCACGCTTGTTTGATCCATGGGGTGGCTACAGTATCATAGGCTTCGGTGACATCCTCTTGCCTGGGCTTCTAGTAGCATTTTCACTTAGGTTTGAGTTCTTAATCCTTTGAAGTATTTGCAATCTTTTTGGTCACTCGATTCTCGCAGTGTCATTCCGTCTGACGTGTTACAAAGTTATTAATTTGCTGCAACTCTCATTTACCCGGGCATAGGATTGGCCAAGGAAGAACATAGCCGGAGATCCAAACTTTTTCTTACTAATGTATGCTATTACTTGAAGGTATGATTGGCTAGCAAACAAGAGTCTACGCGCGGGATACTTCTTGTGGGCAATGCTTGCCTATGGATTAGGTAAACATTTCTATCGTTGCCAAAATCGTTTAGTAGTGAGACCACTTTCGGGATATTAACTTTTTGAAATATATGGCAGGTCTTCTTATTACATATATAGCGTTGAACTTGATGGATGGCCATGGCCAACCAGCGCTGCTTTACATTGTCCCTTTTACACTTGGTAACTTTTACAACCCTATTAAAGGGGAATTGTCTGCCTTTGTTGTTTACCTGATGGCTGATAGCACTCTTTTTTATTTGACTCAGGCACGTTTCTGGCACTGGGGAAAAAACGAGGCGATCTGAAGATTCTGTGGACGAGAGGGGAACCGGAAAGGGTCTGTCCGCATGTTCGTCTTGAACCTACTTGAGAATCACTTTGATAAGATGAGAAAATTTCATCGTTTAATCATGTAATCCTAGTTATAGCATTACACATATCATATTAATGATAACTTGAAAATCAGCAGTATATAGTCCTGGCAAGGCTTGTTAGTGTGATTTGAAATGTTCTTAATGGTATGTTTGGTAGGATGGTTCAAATAGCAATAAGAAATTATATTGTCCACTACCACATACCAAACATGCCCTTTAATGTAATGCAGATTTAATGAGTAGCAGAGCAAATGTGCACTCTTTTGCAAGTATGATGTATGTCTGGAACATAAGAATGTTACGTACAGCATTCGATACTTAGTAGTGTAAGAAGCTAGTCACTTAAGCACGTCTTGCTGAGCCTTGCTCCATCCTACTACATGTCGCCCTTAAGCAATGCAATAGAGCATGTTTGGCAAAGTTTATAATTGCTTATAAGTGGTCAAATTTCTTTTTTTTTTATTTACACGATCCGTAGGAATCACAACTTGTCCTTATTTTAAGGATCATGATACATCTACATCATTCTTTACATTCTTCCACATGACACCATTACATCATTTGATTTCCCCCAAAAATTTTCACATCACTCCATGTACATTTATAATTATCCTTATTTCTATTCATTTTATTTACACATTTTATAGAAATTCACGAGTTATAATTTAATAAAAGTTTTGCCAAACATGGTTTGACGTGTACTGCTGTACATGAAGATCCTATGACAATTTATCGGTTGGCCTTTGATTTCAATGTAATTACTAACACGAGAATTGTATTCATAATTTGTAACTTTGACGGTATCTTTTCAATAAAAATTAAGAATGCTATAAAAGTAATAGGTTGGGATGACGTTAAAATAAATAAGTTGGGGTTGGACCGGGCTCAACCCACATAATTTTTTTGGTATTATTTCTTTTTTCTTTTTATGTAATTTTTTTTTTCATGTGTAATTTTATTTTGTTTACATATTAGCCCGACTTTTAGCCTGATCATGAATCTGCTCCTAGTTATAAGAGAACTAATTGATAAATGGTGCAATTTTGCCATTTTAAAAGTTAATGGTTCCCATTGTACCAATATTCGAAATCGACAAGAAACCATCAATTAGGATAAGCGGAGTGTCTTCAACTGAGATTTTGATGAATTTTAAGTCTTTCTAAATCAAGGTATCATCAATTGATATTTTAATGAATTTCAATGAAATCCTTTAAAATTTATATGTTCATAATAACCAGTGAATTTATAAGGATTTCATTAATAAATAGATTTTGTAAGATTTGGATAGATTTCAAATTTTAAAATACATTTAGCCCTTGTTTGGTCCTCAGACCTCATTATCTTCAAAATATATTTTTTATCTTTTATTTTCACCACACATTCTTTAATAAAATAATATCACACGCAAATCCAAATGGTTCCCTTATTTTTTTTAACCACACATTTTCCATCAAATCACTATTTCAAAATGCACTTTTGACCAAAAAAAAAAAAAATGAGGCTCAAACATGCTCTTAAAAATTCTTTTGAAATTTCAAGAAATTCTTATTTATTTTATAAAAATTTATTCAAATTCACGAAATCCATTAGAATTTATAATCTTTTAAAATTTATCAATTTGAACAACCATAAAGGAAAATGCTACTATGCACTCTTTCTTGACATAGTAAGTGTTGATTGGGTGAAAGTTTGTCAGAAATTTAAAATGTAACGTTGTCACGTGGTACAACTTAAACGATGATGAATAATGCTGTTGAACAAGACCATTTCGTAGTTATTTGACAGTTTTTGCTTGTCTGCCTTTTTGTTTTAACCATTTTTTCTAACAGCAAATGAAAATTTGTGAATTGTATTTGTGTCACTAGACCTCTCGTTAAGCCTATTTTTCTAGCATAGCATGACTGATCCCATAAAACGGCCCAGCACACTATACGTAGTAACGTAGAGTTCAGTTTGACTTTATAATTGTAATCATATAGTTTTGTTTCATAAATCGATCACAATTCGATCCAATAACAAGGAAAAAATGTGGATTTTTGGAAAAAAAAGGGGGGCCATCAGGATTCTCAGCGTCCTCAACAGCTGAGGAAGTTACACAAGGAATTAATGGCTCTGGCCTCACTGCCATTATCTCAGGTCCTTCTATCACGGGTTTTTCTGATAATCTTTTTTCACTTTTTGCTAATATATTTAATATTGATCTGCTTTCATCTGTCTGATTATGATATAAAGTTGCTGTTTTGATTTTTTGATTTTGTGGGTTTTTTTGATTAATAAATGTTTTGTTAATTAGTGTTTTTTTTAATCTCAATTTGTAATCTGATTGCTTTTCTTGGTTAGAAAATAGTTTTGTGATTATTGGTTTCTGGAAATGGTATTTAATGATTCTTGAATGAACTGTAGATTTCACAACTTTTTTTTTTAAATCTCAGTTTAGTCTGTATGAATTCTAATGCAAAATCATAAATTAAAATTTATGGTATTAAATTTTTATTTTGTGAAATTTGATATTGATGGTGAGATGTGGAGTATTAACGATTGATCAAATGGTATTTTATTATTCTTGGATGAGTTTTTTGTTGTGAGGTGACAGCCTTATCTTCTTTGTTCCTTCTAGATCTACAGTTCAACACTATGTCGTTGCATTCAGAAATTTTGAAGTTGACAAGATTAAATTAACCTCGAGAGATGGATAATTAGCTATTATTTATTTAATTCTTCCGCTCATCTTCACCATAATATGTTTCTTAATTATCCCGTACCCCACCAGATTCAAAAATTTAATATAGTAGCATTGCTTCTTGATCATAGACATAAAGTTGCTTGTAAGTTTTTTTAGTATTCTCCGAATTCATATGTAGTTAATATGCCACAGTCATCCTGGTTTTTCCCCTTCTGTGGTTACAAAATTCATAGCACTGGATACTCTTAAGGCTTGTGAAAAGAATCCGAGTGCACTTTTCCTTACTTTTGATGTTTATCTTCTGCATAATTCAGGAGCATCCAGTGATATTGGCACAGAGACTACAGGGATCCTTGCCTCGCGTGGTGGCGTTCATGTAATTATGGCAGTATGCAATATGGACAGTGGTAGACAAGTTAAAGAAGCTATAATTAAGGAAATCCCGGATGCTAAAATTGATGTTATGGAGCTAGATAGTAGTTCTATGTCGTCTGTTAGGAAATTTGCATCAGAATATAACTTGTCAGCTCTTCCTCTGAACATTCTCATGTGAGATTACTTGTTCACTTACGTACTAGTATATAAAGTATAAACAGTACATACCCTTGATGCACGCTATTTCTTATGGTTACCTGTTAGCAAAAACTTGCATTCTTGCTCGGTTGAAAGTAATAATGCAGGATTATGGCTCCACCTTTCATGGAATCTGAAGACAAGATCGAACTGCAATTTGCAACTAATCATCTAGGTGGTTTTCTATTAGTTTTCTTCTTATTTTTGAATGTTTCATTTAATGTTTGAAATCTTTCGAAGTGGACCTGGATTCTATGTTTCTTTTTCTTTTTTTCCTTATTTGCGGTGATGGTCGATCACTTCAGATATCCAATGCTTGTTGTTTCACTGTTACTTTGAAGTATTTCTTTGTTTTCAAACATGTTTGAATGTGCTATTTTTTCTTATTTTTGAAGTAAGACTTATCTTCCTGTCAAAATGAATTATTTATTTTCAACTTTAACCAATAAAAATATTATTTATTAAAACTGACTTATATAAAAACTAATTAGCTCAACCAAACATGCTCTTATTCAATATGCATTTCTATCATCGCATAGCTATACCTCTCTCTAAAACTCTTATTAACCTCCTTTTATTTGGTAAAAATAATCTTCCATGCTGCTTGTATTTCTTCTTGCGACTCAATATGTGCATGTTTGGAACGTGATACTAGATAGGAGTTGACAATTCTACAGGCAAGATTTAACTTTGTTTTCTTCTTTAATGTTGTGTACATTAGAATCCAACCTTACCAGACAAGCCATATGGGTTTAAGGTGTTTCCACTTTAATGAGATGAACTCCAAAAACAAGGTGCAAATGAGAAAATTCTTTACATTCTGGTGCAGGGAACTTTCTTTTAACAAATCTTTTATTGGACAACATGAAAAAAAAACTGCTCGTGAGAGTCAGAAAGAAGGAAGGATTGTCATTGTTGCATCAGAGGGTCACCGGGTAGTTTATCGTGAACTAATTCTTTATGATAAAATCAATGATAGATCAAGGTAAGTAGTGATTAAAATTTTGTCTTACTTTTCTCAAGATCAACCGTGTTATTTAGTCCCATGCAATGACCAATATATAACTAAAAGAATTTTAATTTTTCTTGTATTTTACATCTTTAGGAATTGGAGCTTAAACAGTTATAATCAAATAAAAGTATAGTTTAAAGCTGTGAAATTATTTAAGTATAATATAAATCATGAAAGGAAGAAATCTAAGAAAAATGGAATAATAGGGTTAGTTCGAATTTAGAAAATAGCGCGGAAACTGAATTTTGTACTGCTGGTGCTGTTCTATAGTTCTCTCTCTTTCATGGTTTTGTGTGTGATGTCCAAGTGGTGGGTTAAGGAGTTTGCTTCCTGTTAATCAACCTATCCATTTGTGAAAATTGAAGAAAACGTTGCTGCTAGAAAATATGTATTGTTTGGATTCTTTGACATTCCATATTTAATTTAGGTTTGGCTGTTAAATCATCAGCAGGACAGAATAAGACAGAATATGCATACCTTTTAGTGATTTCTTCATCTAGTCCCAGTTTTCATAGAATAAATGTTGTCAACCATTGATTTTGGATAATATGTATATATTCAAACTTTATTAATTAATATTTGACTTAGGTTTAGCTGATAAATTAATATATTCAGCCATGAAAACTGAAAGAAGAGTGTAATATATATCTATACAGATACTTTGATAATTCATACATGTTTCGCTGGTAATAAGTTCTAGTGGACATTAATATGCAAACCTTTTCTTGGTGTCTTTTATAGTCTTAGTCTTTGTAAAATAAAAAATATAGATCTGAACTTTTGCCACCTGTACAACGTTCAGTAGTGATAGCCTCCACCTTGTCATTGAACATTTTTGGCTAAAGCTTAAAATGTTCTCTTATCAGTAAATAAGATTTTAAAAAATTATTTATTTCATTGGTTAAAATTGTAAACATGTAAGTTACTTATCTTGACAAAAATATGAAAGTTACTTTCGAAATAGGTAACTTTTGTTGCTCGAGTAAGAAAATATAAACATATCCTAACATTTTGGAAATAAAAAGTTACTTAAAACCTTAGCCGAAGTTGCTGCTTAATGTATATTACATGGTTAGCATTATCTGACCTTAGGTAAGCATGATATATGGCTTTTTATACTAAAATTCCTTTTGCTACTTTGATATGACTTATTGCTTGTATTATTTCTTTCCAGTTAATACAGCATACTTGCTTATGGACAGTCAAAACTAGCTAATACATTGCACGCTAAAGAGCTTGCAAGGCGCCTGAAGGTAATTTTCGTGACTTGGAAATCAGAAAATGTATAATATTATCGCATGAAATAAAAAAAATTTTTGTTCATGTGTTTTATTTGCAAGTGTATCTTAAAAATCCCCTTTTTAGTGAACTTCACAGTATCTTCCGAAGTCTGGAGAAGATTAATGAGATACTTTTCGATTTTCTACATGTGGTTTTCTTTGATATATTTTCTTGTTTAAACTAAGCAAATTTGCTAAATAAGATGGTTCTAAATGCTGGAGAAATTTTTTTATAAACATATTTGAATAAGTTACTCTTCTTTTTTACTTAAAGTAAGAAGAGATAGTTATTATGATTGACCAATAAAAAAATTATGTTATTTTGAAACTCGTATACTTGGAAAGTAAAATTTTAAGCTTAACATGCTCGTATTACTGATAGTTGGTCATAGCAGCATCTGTAGGTACTTAAAATATGTCGTTAAAATTTGTATGAGAATCCAAGCTGTATCTGCCTTGATGAAACTATCATGTTTGTGCTTAGAAGTTAATTTTTTGTTTTAGATTTTTAGTTTCATCATTGGTTGTCCATTCCTTAATTTTGCTTCCAATGGACATTTTAACCTTCTGCGCCATCAGTCTATTGTAATTTGGAAACCTGTATGCATTTTATTGCACTATAAAGGCGCAAGAACCTAAATTGTTTGGGGTTTTTGGTCGTCGTGTTCACAGCTCACCAACTGCTTTAAGCATGTTTGGGTAAGCTTAATTTTATGTACAAGTTTCAAAATAAATAATTTTATTTATTAGTTAAAGCTAGAAGTGAGTGATATTACTTATTTCGTCAGTAAGGTTAAGATTTATTTGCAAAATAGTAATTTTTTACTTGAAAGTAAGAAAAAGGTAACATATTCAAACATGTCTGGAACACAAAACTCACTTAAAAAGTAACTTCTACATTTGTTTTCCTTTAAAGCTCGGCCAACATGCTCTGACATACCTCCATACTGCATAATGAAAAACATGGGTAAAATCAGAATTAACATCTGTCCTTGAAGGATTGTCTTTGGCATTATTTTGCCGTATATCATTAGATAATTTCAAATCAAGGAGTAAAAAGATTCAAACTCGTTTCTTGAAAAATAAAAAAAGAGGCACAAAATGTAGATCTGAAAACTACACCATTAATGTAATTTTGGCGCATGCACACATTGCACAAGGCCGATGTGTTTTGACATTTTCTTTTCACGTGTGACCAGCTGGATTGGACAGTTGTTATGTCGTATTGCACAGTTTTAAAATATTCCACAGGCATGTGTTTAATCTTTCAATTCATGTTTGGTATGTCATATCGCACAGTTTAGTACACAAAGTAATTTTTGCATATAATTTGTAAGTAATTATACAAATGTAATCTACGACACAAATGTAACTCTGTTTTTCTTAAAATAAAGATTCTACTACTTTTCTCATCGAACCCATTCTTTATTTGTTCTAGGGAGCAGCAACATCATGCTATGTTGCGTTGCATCCAAAGGTGAAGGGAGTGAGTGGTGAGTATTTTGTCTATAGCAATATAGGTAAACCAAGTTCACTGGGCAGTGATGCAGAATTGGCTAAGAAATTGTGGGAATTCAGCTTCAGCTAGACAGAATCCAAGTAGTTTCATATTCTGTTACCATACTTTATAGTTGGGAAATGATGCAAAAAATGATTCTTCGTCCTCTTATTTTGCCTTTCTAATTTGCCTCGTGCAAAATAAAAATAATTTGAAATCTGAACTCGAATATTTATTTTTTCGATTTACTTTAGTTGTGAGCTTGAAATATGCTTCCCTTTTCTTCTCCGTGCTACAAGTACAAGAAGTCTTTTGCAGGTCATCAGAAAAAAAAGAAGAAAATTCAGTTACTTGATGAGTTCTCGACCTTCTGGTTGTTGCAAATGTCGGAGAGAATCCCATGTGTGTGAACGAAAATCCATTCTAACTTAGGAGCTCGATTAAGGGAGCAAACTTGTAATGATAAGAATAGTAGGCAAGCTTTAGAACCTTGTCAAGCAATACACGAAAAACTCTTTTGTAAGTATGAAATTCACAAATGAATGACTCTAGGAACACTTTTAAAGAAAAGAGAGAAGAATGCTTTTAAGAACTAATTTACGTAACTGTGAAACCTCTTCCGAGTACCAAATATAGAAAGATAAACCATTGAATGCTACAACGACAACAAACTAAGCTTTTTCATGGTCGACTGCACAGATGCTTTTACGCCACTGTCAGTTAATTAGAACCTGTGAAATCATAAGCCCCTCAATGAACTCCAAACTTCAAATCTAAAGAAATCACAACCCCCTCGAGGAACCCCAAACTTCAACGCAGTGCTGATCCTTTCTTGTCACAAACATTGTATTCCCTCCAAAATCCAAGTTGGTTATACGGCTCCCTCCAATATCTTTTGCACGTCCCATCATGTTCTTCCGGAAGACTCTCTCCGGTAAATGACCTTCCTTGTTTTGCGTAGAACCAATTTGAACCTCAGACCACAGCTCGATGTTTCCTCCTTTACAGCAGAAGACATGGTTTCCATGGATTCCGACTTTACATCCAAAACCTTCTTTCCTCCCATTTGCCACCTTTCGGTCATCACCAAGACAAACCCAAGAATTATCAGCACCCATACTCCTCAAATCGGCAAAGAACACTTCACCTGTATTCACACCAATTTTAAATATCGACGAAAGTGAATTTGATACTGCTACATCTGCAAAACAATCAACTCTCTCCTTAAGTTCCCAAACTACATTCCTCGACCTTATATCCCAAAACCTTATATTGCCTAGTACACCAGACGGTCCACTGTGAGAACCCAAGGCCATCAACAAATTTTGACTAGAAACCCATTGCAGTTTAGTGGCTGGAATCGCAGAATCTAAATCAGCGCCGAAAATTTCATAATGACCTATCTTGGTTACTGGTCTTAAACTATCATTAAGATCATATAACATGATGCAATTTGAATTTCTCCGGACGGATTCAAAGCTTGTGAATAAGTACTCAGGCGACACCCCAATGGCTTGCACCGTAGAACCAGACCTTGTGACATTCTCCCAATTCAACGTCTGTTTAACAAAACCATTATCAAGATCTATAATTTGTAACCCTGAAAAGTCTGTGGCCCCGGCTGCAGCAACTTTATCCGATAATGCTAATAACGAATCAATGGCTGTGAAATGAGTCAATATGGTGGATTTTCTTTGCAATGACCAATCAAAGGAAGTGATTTTACTACCATGAGCAACATGAAGTGATTCATACTCTGTAGTCGAGATAGCCGATGGCGAATCCCGGCCACTCATAGGTAAAACCAATGATTTTTCAAGGTTAAATGCATCAAATTGAGAGGGGTTTGATTTGGAATTTACTAATAGGTTTTCAATTCCATAAAACTGAGCCTCAAAAATCAGGTCTTGAATATCAAAAGATCTAGCTTTTGAGGGAAGATTCCCAGTTCTAAGGAGGGAAAGTATAATTGAAAAAAGTTCAGGGTCTCTATCAATAAAAGGGATTGTATTATCAGAATTGGCAATCCTGGATAATAATGATTTTGAGCCAGCTGAAACTAGGGTTTGTTTTGTGGTTTGAAAAATCTGACCACCCACATCAATTGTAATTATATTAGAATTTGATTCTTGAGGAACCCCATTTGGCCGGAATTTTGACCCTGCTAAAGGGGGCATTTTCTTGTAATCTCCCAAAACAAAATCCCCAATGTTTATGCCCAAAATCTAATATCAATCTTGAAATAAAGAATATCAAGAGCCCTAGAAATCAATACCTGGGAGGTAAGTTCCTCAAGAATCTTGAAATCCTTACAAAATAATACCCTAGAAATCAATAACTGCTCCTGCTCAAATTTGGGAGGTGGGTTCCTCAAGAATATTGAAACCCTTTAATTAATCCTCGATAAAACAGTCAATACCGGAGATCGACGTTCATACTTATTTGGTCATGTTCTTCTTTGGTCAGGGGGCAGTCGGACCGTGGCTAACGTAGGCATACATTTCGGATACAGAGGCGATCAGAGGTGTAACTCGGCTACCAACCAAGCCGGTCAGGGTCAAGATCGAAACTTTTACCGATTGAACGTGCAAGAAAATTTGTGTAGCTAATCAAAATTCAAAGGTGAAAAAAGAGGTTTAAAGGGTTGTATATTTAAGGGTGTGCTAGAAAGGTGGTGGGTGGTATAGTAGGCGTGGTTGGGTGGGTTCTAGAAGGTGGTCAAAGTTTCTTGTTGTCAATGGAGGCTAGAAAATTAAGCCCCCCATTTGGCAGCCCATTATCTACATTAAATTATCATTTATCTGTCTCCCCCTTCTTATCAATCATACATTTTTCAATAAAATAATATTATACATAAATTCAAAAAAATTTCTTTTTTTTTATTCCACATTCTCTAAAAAATTATTATTTCACATTATAATATGAAATAATAAGGACCAAAAGGGCGCTAAGGGTCTTAGCCCCCGCTTGACCACCATTATTTGAGATTATAAATTTTGGAATAGTATTTTTTTAAAAATGTGTAGTTAAAAAAAAAGGAAAAAATTTTGAATTTACACGTGATATTATTTTATTGAAAAATGGGTAATTGATAAGAAAAGTGAAAAAAATGGTTATAATTTTAACGTGAAAAATGCTTTGAGTACGGATGAATTTCACAGATTTTCTACAGGAATTCAAAGTTTCTCTCACATGGGGTGGGCCCCCCATGTGATTAAAAAATTGCCAAAACTCCCCACCCACCCCCCTATTGTGTGTTACCTGGCAGTTCTTGTACCTGTAGCAAGGCCCTTTTAATGTGCCGTGGGGCTTAGGTTAGTTTACAGGTCATATGACATCGCTATTAGAGCAGTCCAACGTGGGACTAATTTTTTGTCTGAATTTTGCCAAATGACAAAAAATGTAATTTTAGTTCTAGAATTAGGGTATGATTCGGTTAATTTTTAATTTCACGAAGAACCCCTTATGAATATTGGTATAATTGCCTAATTAAATTAAGATTATTCGAATAAGGAATGGAATAATTTTTCTGAATAAATCAATTGAGGGTAATATATTTAGTCAAAATCATTCATTAATTTTATTCATGTTCATAATTTTCTGCATATTTCGTGGAACTCATTACTATTCTTATTCATAAATAAGGTTGACGATATTTCTAAAGTCTATGAATTAACCACTCCGAATAGTTTTTATTTTCATGCTATTTAATATGTTCATAATTGAATAGCCCAAGCTAGATGTCTAGCTTTCAATATAGAGACTAGGGGTGGGCAAAAAAATTGATTAAACCGATCGAACCAAACCGAGTCAGGTCGGTTTGGGTTTGTTTGAACCAAAAAATCGGTTTGATTCGATTAATTTTAATCATAATAAAGTCGAGTTGGGTACCCATCAATTAACCTATCCAACCCGGAAATACATTTTTTTTTTCATTTTAAAATTCATCCTCTTCAACTTTTTAAAAAAATACAAATAAAATTATTTCTTAAATAATTTATTTATCGTCTACGTTTTTTCTACCAAAACTCCAAATTTCAAAAGAAAAGAAAGCAAAAAGAAGTGTTTATTATAAATTCCAAATTTAGATTGTATCATTGTTTTTCATTTTTGGTATAATTGCTTGTTGGTAACTATTGGATATATACGATAATTTTGAAAAAA